AGATAGATAGATAGATAGATAGATAGATAGATAGATAGATGTTGATTTTTTTGACAGTATAGAACTTAAATAAATAAGTCTATGTCTGTCAGATTAGAAAATGCATTGCACATGTCAGGGAATAAATGTTTTCTCACACAACATTTTTGAGCAGATAAATGGTCCACCTCAGCTGAAGTCTTGTTTGGAATAGACACTTCAATATGGCCATGGTTGATGTTGTGAGAACATCAGAAAAGGAGTGGGTTGTTTGTGTGTGTGTGTGTGTGTGTGTGTGTGTGTGTACTGGTATATGTGGTTTATGAGGACACAAATGTGTATAAGTGTGTGTGTGTGTGTGTGTGTGTGTTTATTTACATATTTATTTATTTACTTATGTATTTATTTATTTATTTATGCAGCATGCATGTATGTATGTATTTATTCATTCATTCATTCAATCATTCATTTTTACAGTTTTAAACTGTAAAATTTACAGGTTTTGTAAAACAGATTTACCTAGCCTTATCACCTAATGACAGCCCCATTGACTCCATCTGCCAAATTACTAAATCAGCATATTATCATCTTAAAAAGCTTGCATTTTGTTTCCAGTAAACACTTGAAGAAACGTGTTCAGGCCTTTATCACCAGCAGGGTGGACTATTGTAATGGACTCCCCACCGTCCTTCCCAAGAAGACCATTAGACAGCTGCAGCTCATCCAGAACGCTGCTGCCAGGATTCTGACTAGAACCAGAAAATCTCAGCATATCTTTACACTGGGTTCAAGTTACATTAAGAATTTATTTTAAAATTATTTAAACTTGTTTATAAATCACTCAATGGCCTAGGACCTTAAAACATTGCAGATATGCTCATTGAATAGAAAACTAGCAGACCACTCAGATCATTAGAATCAAGTCAAGTGGAAATACCAAGGGTTCACTCAAAGCCAGGTAAGTCTGCTTTTAGCTATAATGCCACCTGCAGTTGGAACCAGCTTCCAGAAGAGGTCAGATGTGCTAAAATAGTAGTCACATTTAAATCCAGACTCAAAACACATCTGTTTAACTGAGCATTTACTGAATGAGCATTGTGCTACATTCGACTAATTACACTTATTTATATATTCTCTTTTTTGTTCTTAGCTATTTTATTGCATTTTAAATCATTATTTTAATCATTTTAATCATTTTTAATTCTTTGCTTTTATTGTTATTTTTATTTGTTATGCATGCTCTTTGTATTTCTTATGTATCTGTTGTTTTTATTTTACAATTATTTTAATTCCTTTTTATGTAAAGCACTTTAAATTACCATTGTGTAAGAAATGTGCTATATAAATAAACTTACCTTGCCTAAATATGTTTACATTTTTGCTGTATTTTTTATATAATTATTCAAGTTTTTTTTTTTTTGGGTTTGTTTGTTTGTTTGTTCGTTTTTTGTTTAGCAAAAACAACCGGATTTTTAATGTGTAGGGTCTAGCCCTTTTGCCATGTACCTAGGACTACCACAATGAATGCATATATGTAGTGACTTACACATACATTGTGACGATGCAGTACGCTGATGATTCAGCTTTTTGCCTTTCAGTTTAATATTCATAGGATGCAGTTCAGAGCACAAGCACTGAATTACCGCTAGTGTCCTGCCATTGTTGTTGTTACAGAGTGTGTTCATATACAAGACCACTCCACTTCGAATACTCCTAACCACTCTGCACTCCACTCTGTACTACTCTGCTATACCCTCTGCTACTTGTACTATGATTGTTCACTTAACCAACAGTGTTGGGGAAAGTTACTTTTAAAAGTAATGCATTACAATATTGCGTTACTCCATAAAAAAGTAACTAATTACGTTACTTAGTTACTTTTTATGGAAAGTAATGCGTTACGTTACTTTTGCGTTACTTTTTAAATCTGGACAGGGCATCTGATTACGTAACTCGCGTTACTTGTAATGCGTTACCCCCAACACTGTTAACCAAGTACTATGACTGTATACCACTACAAGCCTTAATCTTTTAAAGTATTCTTAGTTTCTGACAGGACGAATTATGTCTGCTCAATATCCACCAGCACCCCCATTAGTCTCTTTCAATCACTGATTGTCGGCAAAGGCAACAGTCATGACATAGAGTAGATATTTCCCCTGAGATGTGTGACAATTTAGAACTGTGAGGCATGGCCTCACTCAATATAGCCATCACCTCCCCTGAGTATAGAGACATTATGCAGCCATGGCAGCATCTGATGGAGTGGATCCCCAGAAAAGAGGGTGAACAACAATGGGCACATATCTTCCCGTCCCTAAGTTGTTGTCAGAAGTCCTAGCAGAGTTTCAATGGTTGCGGAAGGAGACTGAGGAACTGTATCATTATTCCTATGAGCAGAGAATGATTGGTGCAGGCACCATCTGCCAACTCTGTTCCTCAACTCTGGACCCATACTCCACAGATCACTAAGGATCACAGGATGCTAAGCCCTTCCCTCTGCCTAGATCCAAGCTACCTAAGAGATTGAGTGACAGCACTGCAAAGCCATTCAGATCACATCGTCTGCATGACTTCAGCAGCTGGAGATGACAGCAGATGAAGGACAGCTGAGTTAATGGACGATCCGGCCACTGAGAAGTGAAAGCCTTCCGGATGTTTGCATTAAGAGTTTGCACACAAGTTTGTGTGCACAGTTTGCTTCAGCAGCTGGACAGTAAAGGCTATGTGGAGCTAGAGTGCAGCTCCTATGTGTCAAGACTTTACTTCCAAGATCGATACTATCAGAGATAAAATTGTAACCATGCAGCTGTCAGCCACAGTATCGCATCAGATAGTTCTGATCTATAGTGCACTATAGATCCCCTGAGGAACAATTCCACTCATTCTCTTCGGAAGGAAGAATTGTATAAACTTGTTAAATCATCTAAACCAACAACATGTATGTTAGACCCTATTCCATCTAAGCTACTAAAAGAGGTGCTTCCAGAAATCATAGATCCTCTTCTGAACATCATTAATTCGTCATTGTCATTAGGATACATCCCAAAAACCTTCAAACTGGGTGTATTTAAGCCTCTCATTAAAAACCACAACTTGACCCCAAAGAATTCATTAATTAAAGACCGATCTCGAATCTCCCTTTTCTGTCAAATATACTAGAAAATGTAGTATCATCACCATCATCAATTATATTCCTTCTTAGACAAAAATGGTATCTGTGAGGAGTTCCAGTCAGGATTTAGACCGTATCATAGTACTGAGATTGCTCCCATCAGAGTTACAAATTACCTGCTTTTATCATCTGATCATGGTTGTATCTCTCTATTAGTGCTACTGGATCTTAGCGCCGCATTTGACACCATCGACCACAACATTCTTTTGAATAGACAAGAAAATTATGTTGGCATTAGAGGAAGTGCATTGACATGGTTCAAATCATACTTATCTGACCGCCATTAATTCGTGGCAGTGAATGAAAAGGTATCATACCAATCACAAGTGCAGTATGGAGTGCCTCAAGGCTCAGTACAAGGACCATTACTTTTTACGCTTTACATGTTACCCTTGGGAGATATCACTAGGAAACATGGTGTTAGCTTTCACTGTTATGCTGATGATACTAAGCTCTATATTTCTTTGCGGCCCGATGAAACACCAATTTGAAAAACTAGATGAGTGAAGTGTCAATGGGGCGGACCAAGATGGCAGCCTGAGCGGACGCAGTTTTGAATGCTTGCACCAACTTTCTTTATAGATTTTGCTAATAAGCTGTATGTAGTTATTTCGGTCCTACATTTGTTTACTACAATTTGTTGAATTATTGACGACTACTTTTTGCTTCACCATGGTTCGTAAGCGAAGACTTTCGGCTCACTCAGAAGCTAAAAATGCTAGCGCATGCTCACTCGCTAGCTGTGGGCATGATTGCCTCTGTGAGCGAGGAGGAATCATTTAGTCTGGCCGAAGAGGAGTTTCCAGCTCTGCCTGTTAACATTACTCCAAGCAAGTCACCAGCTGCTAAGAAAAAGGCCAGTGACAATGCAAATGTTGATGTCTCGTATCAGCTAGACAACATAACGCAGCGTCTGATGAAAACATCCGTCTTGAAGTTGTCAAGATTTGATCAGTGTGCTTCCCAGCGAAAAGGAAAAACTTCCTGAAGTTGTCGATGTTGTTCATCATCTCAGAAAACCACAACAGGGCAGCGGTGGTGGTAGGCCTAGAGCTACCATAATCCAGTTTTCTACATGCACCTACAGAGATGCCATTTGGAAGGCAGCCAAAAATTCTTCTTTTCTGCGCAACAACGGTCTGCAGTTTAGGGAGGACTTCTCGAAAGGAAACCGCGAAAGAAGAATGAAGTTATGACCGGAGGTTCAAAAGGCTCAAGTGGCTGGGAAGACGGTTTATTTTGTCAGAGCC